GGAAATCTGGACTTATATGTTATGGTTAGGTAATGCTCAAACCTTCTTCGTGTGAGAAGAGGACTTTGCTCAGCAGTGGGCACTTATAGGCTGATGATATGCTGATGTGATATATGTGATGTATTTTACATAAACCTGTTTTCTTCTGTCTGTTTCTTTTAGGAATAAATTAATAATGTTCTACGTTGAAAATATTGAGTTAGTTTATGTTTCAAATTCCGATGTTTCCCATTATTTAACTAAAGAATATGACGAATGCGGCACTTAAATATTTGCGTAATGTGCATCATCTCACAAATCATTAAAATAAATTGTTACTTCAACCTTTTGTTATTAGTCTAACTTTCAAATAATGTAGTCTTATATTGTTATAGATACAGAAACGAGTAAAAATATCTAAACATAAGTTTTTTTATAATAGATATCTATAATTATATAAATAATTTTGTACATATTTCTTTGAAAAAGTTTAAACATCTATTGAACAAGTTATTAATTACATTGCTGGATCAAAGACTGTTGACTTGTCTGGACGGTTGGCGCGGTGGCTGGGCAACCGACTTCAGCACAACAAATCGTGGGTTTGATTCACGCGTTGAGTCTGAATTTCATTCTGTTTATTGTGAAACTTTACGTTTGTAAACGCACCCACAGTACAAAAGAAATCAGGTACATTTAGGGATAGTGTTTAAAAAAAACTGCACAATTCTTTGCTAAAATTCAAAACGAAACTGTTTTAGACAAATTAATTCACTGGCAACCACGCTATGTAGTTACAAATATTGATGAAAGAATCGATCTTAAACATACGAACGGAAAGTATGTAAATTCTGAAAAGCAAAACTAAAATATCCAGCCTTGATATCGACTTCTAAAATGTGCTAATTTCGTCTGTGTGTTTAACTCTGCGAATATGTAGGTACTGCTTATACATAAATGAATAGGTAGTTTGGTTTCACGCTTGTGTTAAACAAGAACATATCGATTTCTGTTTGGAGCGAAAAATATTTTCGAAACATACAGCATAGTAGGTCTTAGTTCAATTTTTTACGTTACATCATCATCATCATCATCAACCTAAAAGTGCCCACTGCTTAGCAAAGGCCTCTTCACACACGGGAAAGGTTTAAGCATTAATCACCACGCTTGCTCAAGTAATTTCATGCTTATAATAATAAGAAATTATAAGTCCAGGTTTCCTTACTATGTTTTCTAAGTCATTGGTGTCTAAATAATCATAGGAAGTACAGATAACTCGTAAAAAGGCACATTGGTACTTGTCAGGTTTCGATCCCGCGCCTTGCGCCTATGCATGAAGCGGGTATAACCTCCGGTTCACCAAAATGCCTCTACAACTTTTACGATAAATACATTAAGATAAGTTCTAATGAAAAATTGAGTATAAGTAAGTATAAGTAATCAAAAATAAGAACAACCGACAAACAAATTTTATATTCAAAATTAATCCTTATTACTTTGATTACACAAACGTAAACGTTGTCCGGATAAAAAATATCTATCCTAACCTAACAATTAATCTAGGTCACGGTTTATCTTCGTACCGAATAATAATATCCGAATATTTATAATCACAAACATAAAGGTACCCATTTACAAATATTATGTAACAATACCTAGCAAAAAAAAAAAAATAGAATAAAGCAAGTTAATTTAAGAACGCGATAATATTGTCACATGCAGTTGTAAAGATAAAATTTACGTTACACATTTGTCTAGTTTTATTAGTCGAATCCATCTGCTTTTGATGCTAACTCTAAATTTATGGAAACAATAAAATAAGTTACGATACTATTTTAAAAATACAAATTCTGCATTTACGGCACTATTGTGTAAAATAAAATGTCTATAAGATATCAACGTAATCGTTGTAGTAACATCAAGCGTTTTAGTTGCTGAAACAAAGTCCTACCTTAAGTGGTAGGTAGATCTTTGTTAATTAACACTTTATACTTACATAGCATATTCAACAATTAATTTTGCAGAGCAAGTTAACAATGGGAAGCAATGATAATACGTGTGCTCATTTTATTTCATCTTTAGTTCAGCTGTTCTTGGTCATAACATACTATGCAGCACAAAAATATTGTTCAATTCGAACCAGCAGTTTCAGAGATTAACGCGTTTAGACAAACAAGCAAACCCTTCATCTTTATAATATCAAGTGCATATGTAGTACAGATTGATTACTAGATAAGATCTTGCTGATACATTGGAGTCAAGTGCTTATAATATATGTAGATATGGTCACAATTAACAGCTATCTATGCACATCTTACATTGCCTCCTAATAGCGAGCCTACGCGATCTCCGTTGCCGGTGTGTGTGTGGGACATCTATTATGCGCTGATTATTCCGAAGGTCGGACCTATCCCGGTATAGCAGGCAACCCACGACGCCATTAATACCAAATAAGTTATTTATTAAATCGACGATGAAAGGAGACCGGCCTTGTGGAGTTTGTAATTAGTATTCGTAAATTGACTATTGCGAAGGAGGTCTAAAATTTAACGTGTGGTTAATGGTTGCTGAATTTAATTAAGAAATATTCACGTGATAGCTTGGGTCTTTGAATCTCTTACTCTTTTCGTCGGTTTAAACAAAAACAAGTGTAGTAAGATAAGTCGATGGTGTGTTACTCTTCCATGGTGAGGCGACTCTTACTGACCTAAATCCCCCGTTCCTTGTCCTGTTCTAGTTTTGTAATTTGTATTTGGGATTATGAGATGGATGATATATCAATCATTTGTATTCATTTGCAACTAATTAATCCACGTAGATACTACTTACTTACTTGTATAATATTATTAATCGATCAGCTGATGTTTTCAATAGAAAACCATCCATGATAAGTGAGCAAATTAATGATTTTCTACCACATTAAATATGACCCAACAACATTAGTAGTAATTTAAATTGAACTGGATCTCTCACTCTCTCTATCACCCTATCTCACTCTATCGTTAGGAGTAACTACTCAGATATTTTTATTTCAAAATCAATAAAACGATGTTCATTAAATATTAAGATGATAAAGAATGAATGTCATCAAATTGATCCCAATTAAAATGTCGAAGGTTAGTGTCTAATAGAGACTGTTATCGTTCGCACTAGTTGGTGTTTCTTTATTTAGGTAGTGGTACAAAAGTTCTACATATTACTTTATAACATATTAAGTGGTTTTTATTACTTAGAAGAAGTGAAAAGGTAACATAAGTATTATATTAGGTGCAAGCGACATATCGCATTTAGGTATACAAAAATTCTCCACTATTCTATGACTGCTATTATTTAAATAAACCTCTTCAATCACTATACCTATTTTAAAAAAAGAAGGAAGGTAATTTGAGAGATTTAAGCATACATAGGGATATAGGGACCGAGAAAGCGGTTTTGTTTTATACTATGAAGTGGTGCGACAATCTTTGATCTGTTATTAAATGTATGTATAAATAAACCTGATGACTTCATATAAGATTGTAGTAGAACAAACGGATATTAAAATCTAATTTTATGGATATTATTTCTACCTACAACTTGATTATTGATTAATAATAGTCAACTTATTTCATTTATCTATGTTCGATAGAAAATTGTTTAGCAATGAATGCATAGTTTGGCACAGATGACAATGATATCACCTATCTAGACGCGGTAAGGTACAAATGAAATGAGTAATTCTAGCCTTGATTTTGTCAATGAACAGATTCGATTTCTAAGTAACTGGATGAAGCTTTTCATTCCTTGTTGACTATGACATCACCGGCCGTCTTGGATGTAGGAGTTGCGGAGTCTGACGCTGCAGTCAGTCCATGACGGCATTTTAAAAGAACAAGACGTTTGTTCAAATAATTAGCAACACTTGATCTCGAACGAAACTTGTCTGCTAACTCATGTGGTTCCTAGTGCTATAATTGTAATGTTTTACGTTTATGTGACTGTAAAATAATGGATTTCTTTAAAAATTTATGGCGGCGATATTTTCAACGGACGGAGAGACACATTATTCTAAATGTCCCTTTCCAACCAGGTATTTGTTTTGTTTGGTAGTTTTGAATAATAATGGATATAATTTTTTAGTATTTGTAATTTTTTTTATATACTAATTAATCGTTCAAATAAAATATCCGTTGCCGAAAAGTAATATATAATCAGCATAAAGTCTTACGCACTATGGTATACATACTTTTATTTTTTTTATTCCATTTATGACACATTATTTACAAAAGTATGATAATGTATATAATCTTTGTATTGACATCCTGGCCAGTAGCCAATTGTGAGGCGCGAAAATTTTTGACCATGACGAATGGTGGCTCGTAAGTTTTCATTCATTAGTGGTTTACGTTTACTATTTAAGAATTTATGACGTAATTCATAGTTGACTCCTTAGTTGTGGTCAGGGATACAGCAGTCCATAAAAAATAGAAACACTTTAAGAGAAAATTGAATGGGCCATAAAAATGTACACAGACAAATTTTTATTTTACATGTTTCGCTGTTTTGCCATTAAATAAGTAAGTATATGTGATGGTTAGAGATATTATTTCGTTTTGACAATAATTAATAGAGATGACATCAGAATGTTGACCTAACCTATGAATTTATTTCTTAATTATAATTAATTTGATTGACCAAAAACATCAAAGTGAATTATAGTGCAGTCACGTCACGTATTACTTAATGAATATGCATATGAATATAATATATTACACATCTCCTAGATTTGCCTGCGGCTAGTATGGAATATAGATTTTCTTTCATGTCAATCCAATCTTTATAATATACATTCAAATCAGCCTATACATAAATAACAGGCTAAAATAAGCTCTCCAATTAAGACCATTTTTTTCAAAAGTTTTATAGTCTTTCCAATGCAAACAAACAACCAAACAGTGAAATATTTGCTCTTTATAATATTAAAGTACGTAATATTTCTATCTTCATAATAATATAAATATATAATCTGTTTGTTTATTCAGATGTCGTCGACGCAACGAGGCAAGGCGTGCTTGCGGTGCAGGGAATTGATTTCTGTATCGATACGAATGGCGAGAACCATCACACGAACAAGTTTAACCTGATGACGAGGAGCGTCGACCGATGCCTGGTGGTGCGGCGAGGCCAGGCCTTCAAATTGGATATACTACTGAACAGGCCTTACGATGCCAGTAAAGACGCTGTTTCCTTTATCTTTTACGTTGCTGGTAAGTGTGTACTTAACTTTAACCGTTATTGATTAGTCTGATACACGAGAAGAAGATGAGTATTTGTATCCTTACCTGCCGTTAAAACACCTTTTGAATTAGAATCACCATTTACAGACACTATAGCCTATAGGCTTATCTATCCGGAACAAATATTATATAACAGCTTATGCCTGCGTCTTTGTTCGCGTGGTATAGCGACTTTCTGAAGATTTTTGGTTTAAAAACTATCCTATATCCTTTACCGAGTTCCAAACTATGTCTGTACCAAGTTTCACATAAATAGGTTCAGTAGTTTAGGCGTGAAGAAAAGACAGACAGACAGACCGAGTTACTTTCGCATTTATAATATTATTTTTGATTATAGACTATAGGTCATACAAATATTTATTCCGGATAGAAACCGAGTCTGTTAAATCTAAAGAACAATACAAGAACTTTTTCGATTAACTAAAGCTTAGCATAAATCTGTAAGCCTCGCGTATGTAGCCGAGTCAAAAGTTTCCCACATTTTTTACAAGCTCAACAAATCTGTTTAAGTAGATAAGCCGTCTTTTTCTGTTCATGACCCTGACAAAGCAAAAAAGGATTTGTTACTTAGCCTTTTAGTTTTGTACTATACATTGTTAGTATACGTGGGTACTGTAATCAAAACGTTCCGTTCAAGGTTGCGTTTCAAATTGATATGGAGGCTATAAATCTAGTTAATTACACATGACATTTCGTAAACTTACTTCATCCTAGTCCCTGAGGACGACGTTAGTATCTCACAGAATGAGGTCATGGCGTTAATACTTATAATTTGTATTTTTTACACAGACGTAGAATCTCGAGGACCGTCCGATGAGACGTCAGCTGCTGTACCGTTACTAGAAAAAGGGTCGGAGACTTTTGGAGCGTGGACCGCGACGTACGAGGGTCAGATTGACTCTCATCTCATGGTAGCAGTGACTCCTGCAGCTGACTGCATTGTTGCCGCTTGGAAGCTCGACGTAGATACAAGACTTAGTGAAGGCAGTTCTCTCAGTTACAGACATCCTTTACCTATCTACGTCCTTTTTAATCCTTGGTGCTTAACCGACAGTGTCTATATGCCAGGTCAGTATCTACTAAAGTAACGCCTAAATAATAAATAGGCATTGATTAATGTGACCATACTTTAACTGAACTGTTGAAAATCTGTTGAAAAAGTTTATGAAAGATCTATCCAGTATCCAACTAATGAATATTGAATAACGTAAAATAAAACGGGATGCTTGAAAAACTTTCCAGGTCACAGCCATCGTGACGAGTTCGTGTTAGAGGACGGAGGACTAATGTTTAGAGGAGTGTACAACCGTATCAAACCCTCACCATGGAACTACGCTCAGTACGAGAAAGATATATTAGACTGCGCGCTTTATCTAGTCAGAGAAATTGGAAAGGTAATAATGAATTGTTTTCATATTTTCACTTTAGAATTAGTTTAGCTATCTATTTGAGTAAAACTAACGAAGTCGTAAGTATCTATACTAATATTATTAAGCTAGTAGAGTTTGTTTTTTTGGTTCAAATTGAAGAATTATTTCTACTTTGTTCCATTCATTCATCCATTTCCATTCATCATCCATCCATTTATCGAGGTAGGCTATCGATGCAATCTGTAGGAGTAGCAGCGGATAAAACCGTACGAAAGTAACTAGAATGAAATAAACTATGTATTAAAAAAAAAATGTTAATTATAAAATTTTTTACTCCAGGTCAAAGGTCGTGCAAGAAGCGACCCTATTAGGACATGTAGAGCACTATCAGCTGCGATAAACGCACAAGATGACAACGGTGTTATTATCGGCAACTGGGCAGCAGATCTGTCAGACTACAGTGGAGGCACTCATCCCTTGAAGTGGGTCGGCTCATTAAACATTCTGCAGAGCTACTATGAGAAGAAAAAGCCAGTCAAATATGGACAGTGTTGGGTGTACGCTGGTGTATTGACCACAGGTAAGCTTGTCATTTGTGCATATATTTGTTTTCTATATCATGGTTCGGCAAAGAGTTGTGAGATTTCCTGATGGGAAGCAATCAGCGCCGTCCATGGACACTCGCAATACCAAAGGAGTTGCTATAAATGCGTTGTCCGCCTCTGGTGGGTTATCCAAATTTTGTCACCAGTCAAACAAGGTGACAAAATTTGGATAAATAATGCAGATATCAAGTCATGTGTACCCGCATAAAAGATTTGTGCGAATAATTACAGCAAGAGGATTATGATTAAAATTTCGTTTACAGTTTGTCGAGCCTTGGGAATTCCCTGCCGGCCAGTCTCAGGATTCAATGCTGCTCACGACAGTCAAGGAAGCCTAACCATTGATGTCATTATGGATGATCAAGGAAGTCAGCTTGAAGAATACACCAAAGACTCTATTTGGAACTATCACGTTTGGAATGAGGTAGGAACATTATGCTTGTTGTTATTACATGAAATTACTCTTTATCTTTAACCTTCCTATCTTTGCTTAGTAAATGTGGTCCATATTGAATCTTAACCACATTTGCCTCAATGTTAAGGGGTATTTTAAATGGATGGAATACTATACTTCACTTCACAAGTCTTCTACCATACTTCACATTTTCTTATAACATGCTAATGGTGTTATTTTGGCTAGCTTTATGTTGCTTTTAGTTTCGATACGTGCATATTGCATGGTCGACATTTTTACGATGCATCATACCGATTCTTATGGTTTGTTCGAACATATTGCGTCTTAAAATAGTACATAAGTATGCGTTTGCGTCCTACGCAAAATTCAATCGATTGATGAATCACTCAGTAACTAAATGATATAAATAGCTAACCCAGATTGCCTTAGAAGCTGTAACATCTTATCTTTATTTATTTTATAGTTTCACTTTCTACTTCTGGACTTGTATTTTATGGTATATCTTTGGCGAGTATTGAAATTTATCTTGTTTTGCAGGTATGGATGGAACGTCCAGATCTCGGTCCAGAGTATGGTGGCTGGCAAGCTCTGGACGCGACTCCACAGGAGGAATCTGAAGACATGTTCCGTTGTGGCCCATCGTCACTAAGAGCAGTCCGGGATGGAGAGCTGCAGAGACCTTATGATACATCTTACGTCTTCGCAGAAGTTAATGCTGACAAGGTACTCACACAAGAAATTTTTTATCAAAAAAAAAAACAATTTGTAAAAGCTATTTTTCAGTTCTTATTATTTTTCAGTTTTATATAATAAGGAGCAAACTTACTGTACACAGAAGGAATTCCACCTCTTTATAAAATTCTTGTTATCTACAGGTGCTATGGAAATACTCTGGAGAGATTCAGCCACTAAAATTAATGCAACGAGACACTGAATCGATCGGTCAAAACATTTCAACAAAAGCTATAGGAAAGATGGAACGTGAGGTAAGTTGGTTAAAAATAAATATAAAAACATAGGAATAATTCTACACTTGAACGCTTTACTTCTATCAAAGATTAAAATTAAACCCAAACACAATTCCGTAAAGTTTTATTTGCATTACAGGACATTACACACACATACAAATATCCCGAACGAAGTCGCGAAGAACGTATGACTATGGAGAAGGCACTGCGAAAATCTGAAAGCATTTTTGCGAGGTACTACCTCAACGATGCTTTCAATGACGTCACCTTCGACTTTGATCTTCTGGATGACATAAAGATTGGCCAAGACTTCAATGTGGTAAGCGTCAAGAAAACATATTTTTATATATTTTTATACTACTTGTGTTTTGCTATCCTTAAAGCTTACTTTATGGTAAGCTGTCCCTGTAGTCTAAGAATATCAACATTAGCTACATCACTATTGCTGGTAATCTGTGAGACTGAAAAGGTGGTACTTCCAAGATCGAGCTGATTTCTTCAAGTTTCATAAAAAAGCTAGGCTTATGCCTTAAAAATACCTTACTTAACCTTCTAAAAGAATATGATTCGTAGAAGACCTATTTCTATTAAATGAAGGTGTGAAAAAAAGTACATATGGAACAGTTCTTAACAACAGAGGAGTATAGTGAATATGGTCAATCTATTTCGTCTGGGAATATATGGGAATCTAAAACTTTGGTAGGGGTTACCTTCCTTCATCATCATCATCCTACGCATTTCAGTATTTCGAAATGCAAAAGAAAAAAGTGTCTTACTGACATTAAAACAATTAATTGTTAAGCACCCATTAATTTTTAATCCTCAATTTCAGGTTTTACACATCAAAAACCGTTCAAGTTCGGACTCTCATCAGGTAAAGGGTATCCTTCGTGTAGACACAGTGACGTACAGAGGAAATACAGGGGAAGGAGTGAAGAGATCAGAATTTGATCTTAACCTCAAACCTGAAAGCAAGGAAGACATCAAGATGCTGGTCACTTTTGATGAATATTACAAGAAGCTCGTTGATCAGGTATATACATTTTTTTAAGATTACACTAATTGGAGTCTTGTTAATGCATACATTAATTTTTTTTGCAAGTTCACTTTTCTTTTTTCGAATATTTTATGTATGTTTCTATTGTATATGCAATTTAATACTTTTGTTTCTTGAAGACAAAGGATAATGTTGGAACTCACCATTTGTTTTATCTTTCAGGCTTCCTTCAACATTGCTTGCTTAGCAACAATCGTCGACACAAAATTCGACTTCTTTGCACAAGATGACTTCAGAGTTCGAAACCCTGACATCAAAATCAGTATTGATGGGAAACCAGTGTCACATCAAGAGTTCACTGTCAATGTTAAAGTGGAGAATTCCTTGCCCATTCCACTTACTAAGGGCAAGTTCTATATCCAAGGTCCAGGCCTTGATGAACAACTTAAGATTCAATTAAATGAGGTAAGGATACAACAATTCATTAAACTAACTATAGACAAATTCTATAAAAAGCCCCATATAAATCAACAATAAGAAGTGCGAGATTTTTTAACGTGCGTACTACTAGCGCCATCTATCTTAGTATCAGTGAACTACTATGAGTTCCAATGGCGCTCTTAGGTGTGTCGCAAGGTTCGGTTTGGATTCATCTGAAGCGTACTTATCGTTGTAATTTAATGTTTTCCCAGAATGTGGCGCCAGGAGCGTTTGCGACTGCTCAATTCAAGCTGACACCACCGTGGGCAGGTCGCCACCAGATTTCTGCCAAGTTTACATCAAAGGAAATGCGAGACATTGATGGATTCTTGTCCTTGATGGTAGCAATGCCTGCTCCTGCGACAAACGGCCTACCGCGTGATTAAATCAAGTGTCATGAAATCTAGATAGAAGTTTGAGTTATAAATAGAAAAATAGGATAACCATTACTGAAAAGTATTTCCTTACATTATTTAGTCCTAGACTGCATTTTACGTCTTTGGACCTTCTTGTAATGCTTAGTCTGTCATCGCTAACTTTATCAAGACTCGACTTATTTATTTTTCACTACGCCTTAGCTTTATCTATTATTTAAGATACTAGATATAAATATTTGTTATTTTAAGAAAACACTCGTATTGATGCTGTATGTACTCTCATATTTTTGTCTCTAATTTCTTATATTTTGAAAGTGGCCTTAGTAATGTTCTACTTATTAAAATTATTTATTTTTACTTAGAGCAAGAGATTGAATCTATTTCTAGTAAGGATAAAAGCCGTCTCAGTTATTAATATTTTATTTTATACCAGTATAACTATACTACGTAATAATAGAGTTATGTGTTATTTTAAAATTAGCTAATATTTCAGTACCTATCTATTATTGCAATATTAAGTATTTTATAAGTATGATAAAACTGTTGACTGCCAAAATTGGTGCTCTAATATAATTTTATACAATGCAAGTAAAATAAAACAATCGATCAAACCAAATCAGCGTTTTTCATTTTGTTGTCATTAATTTGACAGTTTGTAAATCAGTAAAGTCGTTAAGTCTTTAAATGAGGTCAGGTACTTCCGGATTGTCAACAAAATCAGGTGAGGGTTGTTTTTCACCAACTTTAAGCCTTGGGTCAATGTAATCAGGCTTTGATTTAGGTTGAGTCATTTTCGTAAAATCTAAAACATTATCTGCAGGACCGATTTCTAGATACTCCCGTTTTGTTTGTCCAATATGATTATTACAGTCTTTTGCTTTGTGTTCAGAATATAACTGTGTTTTATTACGGTCTTCGTTTTTAGGATTCGCTGGTTTTTTAACAACAACATTACATTTTGGCATCGTCACAAGCAAGTGACCTGTAATCTGTGATCGGTGCGCTGTAGAGTTAGTTGTGTCAACTTCTGCCGGTAGATGGAGCTGAAATATTTTATTCTTTATCATAACTCTAACATAGTTTGGTTGGACATCAACATCCACAAGATTTGTGTCCATGTGTCTATATACTGCTAAGTCCAAAACATATTTTTCAGGATCATCATCAGTAAAGACAAAGTCTATTTTCGCTTGGTTAATGTTGTATGGTCTTCCGTCAGGAGCAAAAAACTTGTATACACGTTTGTCTTCTTGTTTTTTCTCTGGTTCATAACTTTTCAATTTCATTTTACGCATTTTCTCTATTTCGTAACGCACTTCAGGAGCATGCTCACATTTTTCTGCCCAAAACTTCTCATTTCGTTTTTCTGGATCCATATCTTTGTATTCATTTTCCCACTTGTGTTGAATATCTCGTTCCAAGCGGGACTTTTGTTTCCTTCGTTGATGTCTGTAGTTTTCTTGCTCAAAGAGTATGTCTGACCTTATAATTGGAAGGTTTTGCAGAGCCTTAATTCGATCGGATCTATCAATCTCACAACCGTCAAGACGGTTGAGCTGGGGTAACGTAGCAATAACAAAATCTCGATAGTTATCATAATCAGTACAAGGATTTCCAGTAAGGTATAAATTTGTAAGATTGTAGTTACCCGTAAGATTTTCGACGCTTATGATTTCGCCGATAAAATTGAGAGTGAGATCCAATTTTTCTAGAGATTCACACCTTTCTAAGTTTTCAATGACTTCTATATTGTTGAGTGCCAAGTTTAAGTAGACGAGATTTTTCAATTTGTTAAGGTTTTCAATTTTAGCGATGAGGTTGCTTTGCATTAGCAATATCTTCAGTTTTGGGCACCAGTCTTGGAGGTATTCTATTTTTTCAATATTTTCTTGATGCAATGCAACTTCTTCTAACGGAGCTAACAAGCAATCGTGATGTTCAGCCTTTCTGCGTACCATTTCTACAGTAATTCGCACCATTGTTGATAAATTAATACTTTTTTAAATTATGTTGATCGAATACTATCACCGGTGTGCTGTTTTGGAATCAAAACTCAATAACACTGCATGACAACCGTTGCTAGGTAACGTAAAAGTTGTTAGGCACAGATAGACAAAATACTATTATTACATTAAAATATTTCTCTTAAAGTAAGGAGTTCATTAATAAAAGCTTCAATACCACTTCAATTCATACGTATCGTTTAGTTATTTTCCGTTTATTATGAGAGGGTGGCAGGTTATTTTAGTTAGCTAAGCGTATTTAATATGAGTTCTTAATGACTGGTTATTCGTATATCGAATCGTTTATTTTTGAATGAATAGTGTTGTTCTGTAAAAGAAAGCTTACGAGATGTGGCAATGATAGAATCTCCAACATTTCGAGCGGCTGGTTATCTTTCAATCTCGGCGGTCGGTAATCCGTCATTTAACATTCCATCGGTGGCACCGCGATCGCTCAACTCAAGCGTACTAAATTAATATCGCCGTGATGTAGAGGGTATTAAAATATTTTAAACGACGCCATTTATAATATGACGTTCAGATATCAAGTCGCGAGAGCACAACATATATTATTCCACGAAACTGCCAAAAGACAATGAGGATGAAGGATTACTATCATCAGGAACTCGTTTTGTTGTTAATGTTCCAAGTGGGCTCACAGCTCGAAAAAACGACAATATGGAAAAAACAAGAGATGGCTGGATGAAATAAGGCATGACAGAGGGAAAGAGTGTGTTATTAGTGGGCAGGGTGCGGCGCCCCGCGGTCTGTGTGTGTTTAGGGGTACTCCGCGGGGCGCCAGCGAGCCGCGCGCCCCGCCAGCGCGACGTGCCCACTCATTGAAAGCAGTCAATTTAACATTTTGTTGTTAAAACAAACACAGTGGTTCTAAGCCCTTGTCAATTTATTAATTTTAAACTATTATGGAAATAAGTATCACGTTTAAAGTATTAAAAATAAATTATTCATAGTTCGTAGATCTACTTCAATTGTTAAAAACATATACGTATACGTACTTCTGTTGTAGTTACGTCAGTTTTCACTTCTGTGTAGTTTCGTATCAAAACGTAAGATGGCATTAGCCGTACGATATTTTGTGAAATCAGACTATAGTGATCGTTTGCTGAACCTTTCATTTTTATTATTAAGTAGTTACAATTCTTTATCAATTAGTAGGAATTAATCTGAAAACTTTAGCTACTAAATCAGTATTTTTAGTCATTTCATTTCTTTTAAATTTACTTTCGATTACCTTAGTCCTCCAATATTATTACGTTGACATAAGTTTTACAAAAAGTTTGGTTGTATTTCAAATTAGTCTGATTTCCGTCCGATTTGGGTGTCTTTTGTGTGGATTATAGATATGGTGCTTCACTCTAGAATCGATACTATTCAATATCAATATCAAAAATGGCATTATGCTATGTATAGTATTTTATTACATAAACCTATACCTATAGCCATAGCTTCATATAGCTTGCTATTGAAATTTGATCGAGAGCAATATTTTTTTCCTTGATATAAAAGAGATCAACACAGGTAGTCGATTTGCAAATTAATTTAGTTTATATTTTGGTCGGTGAGTGGCCCAATATTCTCGGAGTTTGCACGGGACTGGAACACGCAAATGTCAGGACAAGTCAAAACAACCGTCATCACTCCAACGCGAGGTTTCTTGGAAAAAAGACAAAATAGCCGTTCGTTGTGAGACTTATGAGATCGGTGTTCGGCTTATATTCTCATCTCGTGCTAAATTGCCGTGCTAATGTGATGTGATTTATCTGTTTTAAATGAGACATTTTTGATACAACGACAAGTTTCTTTTTCTTATATTAATAAGATGCTGTGGGAACACGCCAGTGTAAAGTTAATTCAATATGATTGCTTTATAGTCAAGATTTAATAAAATTTTCAATTTATTTTCTGTATATAAACAAGGTACAAAAACAGTGCGAACTTGTACCTATAAGTATATAAATTGTTTTGATTAATTATTTAGATGTCCATATCTTTTAATATTTATTAATTTGAATTATTCTATAAGGTAAGTTTAAACTTAAAAATGGAATATGTAGCCACTTGTAACGGTTTCGCGTTTTTGCATTGAAGCTGGTTTTGCTTGTCACAGCTTGCATGTCAACTTGCGTATCAGGTTGATATAGGTAGCTGCACCGAGAGTGGCTCTGTTGGACCGGGCAGTCGTCGCGTCTGCGCGAGCGCAGCGCTGACCACCGGAGCGTGAGCAGCAATCTGGCGGCGGCATCTCAACTCGCGCGCAATCAACGATTCGTTCCGGTGAGAAGGGGCTGAGCGGGGCGGAGGGGGACTGGCTCGGGCCCATTCTCACGTAAATAATTACCGGCGAGTCTCAAATTACAAGGCGCCGCTTCAGCCTGCCGATACATATTCATCACGTGTTCGCGCCGCGCGTGACAGCTTCCTCAGGGCAGAGCGGCCAGCGCTCGGGCTCGAGTCCACACCGCTCAGCAACTCATATATTCCTCGCACTCGCACGAATCCAACATGTGATTTCGCATCAATCAAACATGCCATTTTAAGATGCAACGGCTAAAATTGTAGAATCAAAATTCATAAGGATCCATGGAAATTACTGCTTCCGGCTTTGTATCAAACTGGCAATTTTTATCTTCAAAATGTAACCTGATATCATCGAGACATTCTCAGTGATAATTTACTGTTAGTAACCATAAGCCGCTTTGTCGAGATATGGATCGTTAGGAAATAATTAAGCTTACACAAACTGGTGATTAAAATTAACCGGATTCTGGAAATTAATTTTAAATCTAATACTTCATAACTCAGAAGCTATAATCATAAATAACATAATTACTTAAAGCGTTGACCACTTAAGTGTTGCTACTTAAATATTGAACTATAGCGTCAATATGTTAGCTCATAATGAAGTGTACTGGGATCCATTTAGTTCCACTATTATACGGAAGATGTTCGGGATCATCAACGTCAATGAATTTCTAATTAGAAATATCGCGCTCGCCCCGGATGCGGCCTAAGCGATAAATTATGCACTTCGAGAGGAGTACTAATTTCGATGCCGACAAATTTTCCACAACCGCGATTTTAATGCGTTTCAAATAATGTCTGTAGGCAACGCTAAATGATAAATTGTCAGAGGTACGCCCCCGACTCGAGTTTAGTATAAACGAGCCGAGCTCTCGCTCGTTCTGCGAGAGAACGAAGAAGATGGAAGCGTCTGTTAAAAAAGGAATGGGTTAGGTGAGAGCGCGATGGTGTTGAGATAATAACAGTGCAAGGCACCGCGGCCTGCTCGCCTTTGAGGCGTCCGCTGCCGAATATCACCATTAGCTGCAATTTGAATATTATCCCTGAGCGAAATAGTTTTCAATTTTGCCAACCACCGACATCGATGAGCGAGCTTAAAATGAAATCGAAGAGTTTCGAATTGTATTATTACAAGGAATGTGACGGTCCCTATAAGGTCAGGTCACAGGCAGGGGCGCAACGGGCTGAATAAAACAAACAAGTTAATTGTATTTATTCAAATGCGCTGGGGAGCGAGCACGATGCGCCGCGCAGCCGTCGCTTCATGAATAGGCATGCCGCGCCGCC